ACTGAAAGAAGTCGCGATCACTTTAGTTGAATTATATGCCACGAAATGAATCTAATTGATCAATCAATCAAACAATCAATTAATCAATCAATCAATCTCTCTCTCTCTCTCTCTCACTCAATAACCACAATTACTAAACATGTCTCGCATGCCTTATAATGGAAAGACATGTGTCTACCATCGGACATTTGTTATTGTTAAGGTTGATCTTGCAATTCAGTTTCATCAATCCAACAAGATCAGATAAGCTCAGGTCGCGTGGAGGACATGTTCAATCACAATGCCCCATCCTCCCAAAATAAAAAAGGGATATATATATATATATTGTCATGAATGATAATAATGCTGTTATGGTCAGTCGTCTAATCGTCTATAAGCGTGTTAATGAATTTGACACATTATGACAAATATCAAGAATGGTAATTCATTTTATGTGCGCGTGTGAAAATTTGAGACCTCTTATAAACAAGTCTATCTTACTTCATAAGCACGCATCTTATGGAGTAGTTGCTACTATACGATCAAGCTAAGATTTAAAGCCTGAAGGAAGTCCTTTGCACAATGGGTCGAGCAAGTCATTTTCATCAAATTAATATATAATAGCTTAGCTAGCTGATATACATATTGTAAGATTTGCATTCTAATACAAACTCTAAGATGGTCTTCTAATCACTTAAGGATAACTAGTCCAATGTCAATTGGGATTACATGGATCTATTTAATTTTAAGGCTTGATATACAACTGTTTCAGATAAATAAAAGTGCTTAAGATTTCCTAACTCTAAATGGATTGAGATACCTAATCCTTTTGGTTAAAGGAGTTTAAGCAATCCATGATGATGATGATTCTTAAACTATGCCTATAAAAAGGAGGTCCCTATGCTAACTCCAAAAACACTCTCAAATTATTCTACCCAATCAAGAAGAGATTCAAGAGGTGGATAGCATAGAGAAACTACCCTACTGCAAATCTTCCTAAAACCAGTGAACCAATCAAGAATACAACTGCAGAGTTCCAGTTTCCTTCCAGAGCGAGAAATCAAATTCTTGTGCAATAATTATCATAATGTCAGATCAAGGTCTGTGTTTTGAGTATATAAACCTATTAAAGTCTAACACATATGCCTATATACATTATTGGTGAAGTATATAGTTATATGCTCATGCATGCATGACCTTCGATCTCATTCTCTGATTTTTCTCTCAATAATTCTTCAAGCCGTACCATATCTGATATTTAATCAGAATAATATATTCATGTAATTTATAATTGAATGATAGTACGCATAAATTATTCTCGAAGTTTCAAAATGAACCAAAGAATAAAGATATATATGGAACATGACAACAATAATGTTCATCGTCACCTCCCATAAGCCGCAATCTAAACTTCAACATATAAAGTTGAGTAGTGTAGAAGTCATATCAAATTTGAGATATCTTTCTAATGTGGGGATGAGTTATATATGATCACTACAATCAGATTAATGATAGTTAAAGAGATTCATAATAGTTATCGTTTTTCATGCATGTTATCAATTATCAATTATCAATTATCTGCATATAATGAGATATCATGACAAATAAAGGAGGATTCGATGACCCGAAATACTCGATAACAATAAACAACTCTAGACATGTATGTCACGCCTAATTCTCCACCATGCCACACAAATATACTCACAATTTGTAGACCCTCAATAAACTTTTAGTCAATAATGCAAAGGTTCATGGTCAACAAGATGAATGTTGGCCATGCCGAAATTATTGAAACCATTAATTTGTCTCTACGGATCTTCACAGTCAAGTTGGAGGCAAGCTGGAAGGTTTACGTTCTTTTCAAAGCTTCAAGAAAGGCCAAGCGTCTCCTCTGGACATGTGTCTTCTAATTATAAGTAGAAATCGAAGCCTAATTTTCTCCCTATAGATTAGTATTAGAAGTAATAATTGAGAGAGTTTTTATAAACAATAGCCAAAATTTATCCCATATTTTTATAAATGTCAATTTTGATAAAAACTTTCAAAAATAGCCAAAAACTCATGTAAATAGACTCAAATGCCCTCATAACTCAAACCCACATAAACCTAAAAACCAAAATCCTATCCTAACAATTGTTTGGTAGACCTCTACTCTTCGTGTGTAGAGCAGATTCACAAGGAGACAAAGCACACCAAGTTACTTGCAGTAGACTCCTCATTATGTGTGCAACAGATTCGCAAGGAGACAAGCACACTAAGTTTCTTGAGGCAAGACTCCTCGTTGTAAAGCTTCAAATATTTGAATTCTTTTGGTGACTGTGCATCACTATTGCACACTCTTGGTTGCGAAACAGTAATTAAAGTTATAGTAGTTGATTTTATCTTTGGATTATGTAAACAAACATTCAAGTAAAGGGAATTAAATTTTACTAGTGAGAAAATAAAAATAAAAGAATCAACAAGCCGAAAATTTAAAAGGAAATTTGTTTTTTGGGTAGTTGCACAGTTCTTCACTTTGTAGCTATACTTTCTTCGTTAGACGGGAGACTTTAGAAAAGACCAAATGAGAGAGAAATTTTTTAAAAGAAGCAAAAATAGACACAATTGCCCTTATTTATTTTTGAATTTCCTAATGAATCTTTTACATTTGCATATCTTTGGTTTGAAAGTTGAGAGGTTTTTATGTCTTTTTTTTAAAAAATTTGGCTTTTTCCAAAAGTAAAATTTTTTGTGTGGCTGAAACCTAAATTTACTTAGACGGTTTGCCTTCGGTTTGTTGTACTATGGGTGCCCTTGTGTTATTGCGGGGGCTTTCTTTGTTTGTGATTATTTGGGGGGTCCCCCCTTTTGTTGGCTCCTTCAGCTGTTGGTTTTGCTCCATGTAGCTTTGGTTTTCTTAAATGATTTCATTTTACAAAAAGAAAAAATTATTTTGGAATATTCTCTTTAGATTTTGAGTTCATTTCACTGGACACTTTCTTTTGCTTGTTAGGTTTATGTCTGTTTAAGTTTTGAGGGCATTTGAGTCTATTTACGTGAATTTTTTGCTATTTTTTTATTTTTAGTTTTTCAAAACGGATATTTATGTAAATATAAGATCATAGTTTTTTTTATATGGCCCTAACTATATTGGGTTAGGCAGGTCTTACAATAAGGGAAGGGAATCTCTACTTTCCTAATATAACTTTTTAAGTGCTAATTAATTAGGTTGATCCCGTGCGATCTAATCCATCCAAAGGATGGGCGCACCCAAAATCCTGAAAATTCTGCACCATAGTGTGCAAAAGATCTTGGAGATGACTTTTCACCTTCCTCCTCATATATGTTTTCTGGGTGGTGGAAGATTGTGCTTCTAACATTTGTCCCAATCAAAGAGAAAGCATCATGTTCTTGGGTTAATTTGTGGACATTCCTTTCCATTGAAAAGGTCTATTTGGATCAAATAGGAAAACACAATGATGATGTTATGCAAACCAATTATACGTGTGTTTTCTTAAATTCACTCTTGATAAGTTGATTATTGATATAATATAATAGGGTGTCAAAGTTTAGATCATTCATTGGTCCATGTGTTAGAAGTGATTTCGACTAGTGCGTTATTTGTGCTCCATCTCTACACGCCTTCCACGCTATAGAATTGAGTACATTTATCTCCAAAGTATATTTAAATTTAGAAGATTTCGAATTCCCATATCTCGTTGATCAAAAGTATTACTATAGCTATACACACAAAATTTACTGTTTCCAAGTCAACAATAGTGGATGTAGATAAAAGTCCTGAAGATGATAGCAATATGTCACATAGAAGTACTATTGTAACATGAAAGTGGAATTACTTCATTTACATTTTCGGTTTAACTCTGACTTTAAAATCTTTTCTTATGAATCGAAAGTATTATAGTGTGACTTTTGTAAATATTTTTAAATGTTTATTTATATCTCATACATATCATAACTGCGCATAACATATTCTTTTAATTTTCCTCATCCAAGCATCGAAATAAAAGTTGAGAAAAATAGGGTAAATCATGTTGAGAGTCAAAGCTGACGAGGGCTGACGAGGATCATCTTTACACCAACAAAAATCTCAAAGAGGCGAAAGCAAAAATTTCGTGGTTCATAATAGTTGGGTTGGAACTTGGATATGTGAGATCTCAATCAGTCAATTGCAAAGTTGTAAATGAACAGTACCACAAATGCAACCATACAGACAAGTCACCAATACAAAATACCCGTTTTGCCCATAATTCTCCTGAAAACAACAGAAGCAAACATCCTGGTTGGGCTACTTTTGATAATTTTCTTGTATTTTGGTTTTGTCTATTTTCTATTTTCTTTCTACATTGGGACCGATAGGCTGAAACCAATCCACAACTCAGCAAATGCTAACGCCACAAACCAGAGCGTGTCATTTTCCAAACTCTCAGCTCACGAAACAGGAGGGCATATCAGTCAAATCCCTCCCCATGGATGTTACCTTTCTTCTCCAATCACGGAGACAAAGAAAAGAACAAAACACAATCCAACGTCCCTCATGGAATCTAAGCCCGAGGCCACAATCCGACCGTCCACCTGGAGAAAAACGCTTCATCCCAATTATAGAAACCCGAAACGCTTGTGGCGTCGTGTCCACCTTCTGGAAGCTGCACTCAGTCACCAAAAAAACTCTCTTCTGGCCTGACACCTCTCGCCCTCCCATTGGCAGGCTTGCAAGGCCCAATCAAAACCCTCTCGCAGCTCTCAATCACGTGGGCCCGAAACATCACAACGCCACGTCTCGGCTCCCAGCCAATCCCCTCTCTCCTCCCTTCGTTGTTGCGGTAACTGTTGACACACGTGTCTTTTCCCACAAGTGTCTCCTCCCACGTCGCTCTTATAAATCCCATATGCCCTCGCCACCTTCATTGTTGAGCTATGAGCTTTGAGTGCGAGACTAAACAACTCTGCCCAAAAAAAAAAAAAAGAAACCTTGGGTTTTGAAGAGAGAGAGAGAGTGAGGAGAGAGGGAGAGAGAGAGAGAGTGATGGATGGGAGAGGAGGGTGTTGTATAGCGAGGTATGGAGGAGAATATGATATGTCGCAGGTGGATAGGATAATGTTGAGGTTCAGACCGATTGCTCCGAAGCCGGTCAACGGCGGAGGGTTGGATTCCGGTGGGTCAACGCCGGAAAACGGTGACGTTTACGTTAAGAGTGGGAGGGGGAGGGGGAGG